TGGGCTCGAGCAATTCTCTTGCCTTGGCTTCCCAAAGTTCTGGGATTATAGGCAACAGACACTGTGTTTGGCCCAAAATAAAGTAGAATGAGGCTGGGCACAGTGGCTCATGCCTGTAATCCCAGTACTTTGGGAGGCCAAGGCAGGCAGATTTCCTGAGGTCAGGAGTTCGAGACCAGCCTCGCCAACATAGTAAAACCCCATCTCTACAAAAACACAAAAAAATCAATCAATAAATAAATAACCAGGTGTGGTGGTGGGCGCCTGTAACCCCAGCTACTCAGGAGGCTGAGGCAGGAGAACCACTTGAACCCAGGAGACAGAGGCTGCAGTGAGCCAAGATTGCACCATTGCATCCAGTCCCAGCAACACTGTGAGACTGTCTCAAAAAAAAAAAAGAAAGTAGAATGAAATAAAATCAAATAGGACAGATAACAAAACTACATGTCATGGGTTGTTGTGTAAATTTCACCTTCTGAAGCTTCTGCTTCTGCAACACTGAAGGTCATCCAGAATACACAGGTGACTCCCAAGCACCCACATGAGGTGGTCAACAGCCACCGCTCCAAGTGCCCCCAACCCCGGCTCTTGTCCTTATCTTGTAATCTTTCAGAACACATAAGTGGCACACCCAGGCACCACCATCCCAGCTCTGGCACAGGGCCAGCACCTGCCCAGCCTGTGTGTGTGTTTTAAATGCCCCGTGTATTTTGGGTCAAAATGTTACATGTGTTTCTTATCGTGGGTGAGAATAAAAACAGCCCAAAATCTGCTATTTTAAGGTTTGTGGGGGCAGTTGGAGGCTTTGGGAGGTTCTAGGGGCTCACGCTGAGCTTGCGTCTGTCCTTAGATGAGATGTTGATATTCAGAGGCTTGGGTAATGAGGACCATCAGGACGCATTTGGCCTACACCCTAGCCTGGCCACAGATGAGATGGGGCAAAAGAGGTCTCAACTCCTACCTGTCACTTGGGCCTGGTCAGTCAGCAGATGGCTCAGTGATGCGGAGAGGCCAGCTTGCTGCCCACCTGCCATGTGAGGTTCCCTGTAAAGATGACAGGGCTGCCCCCATCACCAGTTTCATCTCCAGCTGCGCCTGGAACCTCTCGGCCTTGCTGACCTTGGGTGGCTGCAGGTCACTCTTGCCCTGAAAAGACCTTGGTGTCACCTGGAATGATAGAATTGGCCAGCAAGCCCAGCCACGATCACAAAAGCTGGGACTGGAGAGAGCGCAGGAGACAGCCAATGGATTTCTATGCCAATCCTTCCCCAGTATTTGATTTTTCTGGAGACAGAGTCTCACTCTGTCACCCAGGCTGGAGTGCAGTGGCAGGGTCCTGGTTCACTGAAAGCTTCGCCTCCTGAGTTCAAATGATTCTCCTGCCTCAGCCTTCCGAGTAGCTGGGATGACACACACACACCACAGTGCCCAGCTCATTTTTCTATTTTTAGTAAAGACAGAGTTTTGCCATGTTGTCGAGGCTCGTCTCAAACTCCTGAGCCCAAGTGATCTGCCCGCCTTGGCCTCTCAAATTGCTGAGATTACAGGTGTGAACCACTATGCCCAGCCCTTTCCCAATTTTTTAAACTCCGGATTTCTCAAAATTAGAAACCTGTGTTATAAACTCAGACATAAACACAAAAGACTCCTCTCCTTGATAACCCCCTCGTTGGATCCATCAGGAACTCAGTCGACCATCGCTATGGAATATGACTAGACGACCCCATCTGCCACCTCCACTGCACACCAGCCCCAGCCCTGGTTATCAAGCCTGACGGCAACATCCTCCTGGCTCTCATGGCTCCCATCCCGCCGCTGGCAACTGATCTCAATGTGGTGACCAGACACGTCCAATGATGGCACACTAGCGTTTCTTACAGTACAATCCAAAGTCCTTGAGGCCCGTGAAGCCAGAACTGTGTTGGTCACTGGTGCAGACACTGGCAGGTGGGCCATGGGGACAGCTCACTATACTCCAAGGCCCCACATGGGAGATCCTCTAGAAAAGCCATGAGCAACTACAAAGCCATGTTTGATGGCCCCGCCAACCTGCAGACACACCCCACACAACCCTCTGATAGCCAATAGCTAGTCAGTTCACCCAAAAGATGTCAAAACAATACTCGCCATTACCAGACCGTCAGTACTTAATGCTGTATATCCCTGATCCCCACCGACATGCGTGCAGATGTGTGTATACAAATGTGTACATATCTGTGTACAGATGTATCTGTACATGGATATCTGTAGATGTGTATGTATACAGATGTATGGAAAAATGTGTGCACGAATGTGTGGATATGGATGTGTGTGTACAGTGATGTGTACATGGATGTGTCTATATGTAGACGTGTGCAGATGTGTGTAAAGATGTGTATATATATGGATGTGTGTATATGAATGTATGTGTACAAATATGTCTACATGTGGATGTAGATGCTCGCAGCTCTTCCTGCTCACAGGCACATCCTAGCGCCGGCTTTCTCCAGTATGTACCAGAGGCTGCGTGGTGGTGTCAGAGCTTCCTCAGGGTGCACATGAACAGGGTGAGCACAGAATTTCTCTCCCAAACCACAGCACTTTGCAGTTAAAGAGAACACTAGTCACAAATGTGTCAGGTCAGCAGGCATAAACTGGAGCTCTCCAGGCAACTGAGGACCCAACCCCCACATACCAGGATAGGGGGTGCCAAACAGAACACTTCCCACACCAACCTTAAATCCCACAAACTTTAAGGTTGAACCCAAGCTCTGGCACTTTGTATTCAATGAGCTTACCTGCCTCAGTTTCCTCATCTTGTATGGGGTTACAAAGAGGACTTGAAGAAGGAACCTCCTGTCTGCTGGAACAGGCTCCAGAAACTTACAGAGCACCGGCTGTTACTGTAGTTGTGATGAGTCTGGGGCAGATGGAACTAGAATTTCTCCAAAGGCAAACAAACATTTCCAGGCTTCAGACAGCTCTATAGGGAGTGGCAGGAAGGTCTGAGGGGAGGTACAGGCAATCTGTGCTTGCACATTTAGCAAATAACAAGCCATTCAAGGGTCCCTGGGAGTTCTGGAAATGAGGCAGAAGTCTCAGCCATCAGACAGGTGGGGCTTTAGGAGGAAGACAGTCCTCTCCTGGGTCTTCTCCCCACCCAGGCTGACAGCACAGGTGGAAGTGGAGAGGGTATGTATGCAGCAAGACATCCAGCCCTGGCTTCAATTGCTCCGCGCCAGCCCTCTGAGAAGACACTGGAAACTGAGGCAGAATCGGGTGATCCACTGCAGAAAGGGCCCAGTGGTCATGCCTGGCAGGATCAAGTCTAAAGCTGCTATTTGTACGCTGGCTGGAGTGCAGTGGCACGATCTCGACTCACTGCAACCTCCACCTTCCAGATTCAAGCAATTCGCCTGCCTCAGCCTCCTGAGAAGCTGGGCCTACAGGCGTGCACCACCACACCCAGGTAAGTTTTGTATTTTTGGTAGAGACAGGGTTTCATCTTCTTGGCCAGCCTGGTCCCAAATTCCTGACTTCATGTGATCCTCCCGGTCACCTCCCAACATTTGTACACTTTTTGAAGTCACTGATCTGCTTAAAAAGGGGATAGACGTTTTAAATCTTCTCCCCAGGATGGAGGAGACAGACATAAAACTTCAACACAATTACAAGGGCTTCAAGTGACTAAGTTCTATCCAGGTACACTTGGGTAAGAACCCTTGAAAAGCACCTACTAAGATGAAAATGAGCCTGGACAACAAAGTAAGACCCATCCCCACAAAAAAGAAAAAAAATGAAAAGAAAAACAATGGAAGGGCATGGTGGCACAGGCCTTAGCCCCAGCTACTTGGGAGGCTGAGGCAAGAGGATCGCTTGGGCCCAGGGGTTCAAGACTGCAGTGATTTAGGATCATGCCATTGCATAGAAGACCTTGTAAAAGAAACAGGAAAGTGGGAAAGAGAAAAGGTGGGGGAAGAGGGGGGAAAGGGAAGAAAAGAGGTAGGAAGAGGAAAAAAGGGGGAATAGAGGGAAGGAGAGAAAGGAAAGAAAAGAAAAAATAAAGGAAGAAAAAAAATGAGAAAAACATAAACCTTGTGGCCAGGGAATTCCACTGTTAAGAATTTACTCTGCAGAGAGAATGGTGTTCACCACAGAATAATTGTAAGAGAGGAAACCTGGGAAAAACTCAAGAGCACTTCATTATTGACCTAGCTGAAAACATTCCATTCCATGGACTATTACGTGGTCATTTGCACTACACGGGAGACACTGATTTTTTTTTTAGGTGGATATATTTAACTCCACGTGCTGATTGTGTGCACAGATCATCTCAGAAAGGAATCACCAAAAAAACCCCAGCAGTGGTTGGCTTTCAGGAGGGGTGGGAGAGCAGCTTTAAGGCTGTACCAGCACCAACCAATAGAACTTTTTGCAATAAGGACCATGTTTCTGGGCCATCTGCAGCTGTGGAGCACCTGAAATGTGGCCCAGGCAGCTGAAGAACCAAATCTTTCATTTTCTTTAATGTTAATTCATTTAGATTTTTTTTTTTTCTTTTTTGAGATGGAGTCTAGCTCTGTTGCCCAAGCTGGAGTGAAGTTGTGTGATCTTGGCTCACCGCAACTTCTGTCCCACAGGTTCAAGCAGTTCTCCTGCCTCAGCTTCCCAAGTAGATGGGGTTACAGGGGCTCACCACCACATATAGCTACTTTTTGTGTTTTTAGTAGAGATGGGCTTTCACCATGTTGGTCAGGCTGCTCTCAAACTCCTGACCTCAGGTGAGCCACCTGACTCAGCCTCCCAAAGTGCTGGGATTACAGGCATGAGCCACCATATTCAGCCTCACTTAGATTTCAATAAACACATATACCACTGGCGGCCATATGGGAGACTCAGTTCTACACTCTTTCATAGTTTTTTGAACTTTGAATCATTTAAATGCATTGCCTATTTTTTTTAGTTGTAGAACTTAATAGAATAGTATTTAGATTGTATTAATCTAAATGAAATCTACCATAGAATTTAAATTGTACCAGCAAATGCTGATACATAAAAAGATTGCCAAGGGGTGTGTGTGTGTGTATGTTTTGTTTTTTTTTTTTTGCGTCAGAGTCTCACTCTGCCACCAAGTCTGAAGTGCAGTAGTATGAACTTGGCTCACTGCAACCTCCGCCTTCAGGGTTCAAGTGCTTCTCCTGCCTAAGCTTCCCGAGTCACTGGGATTACAGGCAAGCACCACCACGTCCAGCTCATTTTGGTATTTTTAGTAGAGAAGGCGTTACATCATGTTGGCCAGGCTGGTCTTGAACTCCTGACCTCAAGTGATGCACCTGCCTTGGCCTCCCAAAGTGCTGAGGATTACAGGCACGAGCCAGCATGCCCAGCTGCAAAGGTGTATTTATGAGTAAAAAGAGCAATGTACAAACAAAAAATAGGGAACAGGTGGGGGTGGTGGCACATTCCTATAATTCTAGCACATTGGGAGGCTAAGGTGGGAAGATCGCTGGAGCTCAGGAGGTCGAGGCTGCAGTAAGCCATGTTTACACCACTGCCCTCCAGCCTGGGTAATGGAGCAAGACTCTGCCTCAAGAAAAGTTAGAATTAAAATTAAAAAACCAAAACCTAAGCATTACGATTGGGTTTTCATGCAATTTTATGTTATGTGCCTTCCTCAAAACTTGTTACGGTATCATCATATCACCAATCTGATGCAAAAAAGAAAAAATAAGGTTGCGTTTCTCAGGAGAAACTCCTGAGGAGGATTCCCGGAGTGACAATGGCTACCTACAGCCTGGCGAACGAGCGACTACGCGCCCTGGAAGACATCAAACGGGAAATCGGCGCCATCCTTCAGAATGCAGGTACAGTGATCCTAGAATTGTCCAAGGAGAAAACCAACGAGCGGCTTCTAGACCGGCAGGCGGCAGCCTTCACCCCTTCAGTGCCGCACGTGGAGGCGGAGCTGTCAGCTCAGATCTGCTACCTCACCCAGGTGGCCACAGGGCAGCCCCATGAGGGCTCCAGCTACTCTTCGAGGAAGGACTGTCAGATGGCTCTGAAGCGAGTGGACTATGCCCGCCTCAAGCTCAGTGATGTGGCTCGAACCTGTGAGCAGATGCTGGGGAACTAGGCCAGGGAGGTGGACCCAGAGCTCAGAGAGAGACCATCGCCTGTGCCATGGGAAAGAACCTGGGAACATGCAGGATGGGGAGCATGGGCACCTACATGCCCTGCTGCTCAAAGTACCCTTGGGGAGGCCGAGGCTGGAGGATCATGTGAGGTCGGGAGTTTGACCTGGCCAGCTTGGTGAAACTCCGTCAAAGACAAAGGGGCAAATGGTGGGCATGGAAAAACTGAAGCCTGAGCCTACCCACAGCTATGCCTTGGCCTCTCCAGCAGGGTGCTCCTGCCCTGTACTCCACCAAAACCCTGACAGGCTCAGACAGAGATGGAAACTCACACATCCAACCCACTTCCTCAAACACTTCATGCTCCTGACCCAGGCTTCACGCAGAATTGGCCTAATGAAGATACATTCTTCTTCACTGGGAGAGACAAGAACTAGAATTTTAATAATAAAAGCAACAATTAAAAAAAAAAAAAAAAAAGAAAAAAGAAAACCCAGAAACTCAAACTAAAAATATTTGCAAATCTATAGCGTTATGCATTGTCCTGTGTCTCCCCAAAAAACGCTGAAGTCCTACACCGCAGGGTCTGTGGATGCGACCTTATTTGGAAATAGGCTCTTCACATGTGATCAAGCTAAGCTGAGGTAATGAGGGTGAATCCTGATCCCGTGTGCCTGGTGTCCTTATAAAAAGGGATACGTGGACAAAGACACGTACAAAGGGAAAACAATGTCAAGACAGAGACAGAAGACCACCTACAAGCCCAGGAACTCTGGAGGCTCTGAAAATCCAGCAGCGAGACCTGGGACAGACCCTCCCTCACAGCCTTCACAGGAAAAACAAACAAACAATAAAAAATCCCTTGATTTCAGACTCTTGGCCTCCAGAACTGTGAGAATAAATCTCTGTGGTTGAAGCCACACAGTTTAGGGTACTTTGTTAAGGCAGCGCTGGGAAATGAATGCAGATTTCTTGGGGCATGCATCAACACTTCTGAAGGAAATTTGGGATGTGGCATGCTTAAATTTACAATTCATACCTCTCTCTACTCTGAATTATTTTTTGAGCGACAGGGTCTCACTCTGTCACCCAGGCTGGAGTCAGTGGCACAAGCATGACTCACTACAGCCTTCACCTCCTGGGCTCCAGTAATCCTCTTGCCTTAGCCTCCTGAGTAGCTGAGACTACAGGCACATGCCACTGTGCCTAATTTTTAAAAAATGTTTTGTAGAGATGGGGTCTTGCTATGTTTCCCAGGTTTACCTGGAACTCCTAGCCTCAAGTGATCTTTCCACCTTGGCCTCCCAAAGTTCTGGGATTATAGGTATAAGCCATTGTAACCGGCTTGCTTTTTTTTAAAAAAAGACAGAATCTTGCTCTATTGCCCAGGCTGGAGTGCAGGGACATGATCTCAGCTCACTGCAACCTCCAGCTCCTGGGTTGAAGCAATTCTTTTGCCTCAGCCTCCTGAGTAGCTCAGCTTATAGGCTCCTACCACCACACCCAACTAATTTTTGTATTTTTATTACAGTCGGGGTTTCACCAGTGGGCCAGGCTGGTCTCAAACTGCTGACTTCAGGTGATCCGCCCACTTCAGCTTCCCAAAATGCTATGATCATGGCTCACTGCAACCTTTGCTCCTGGGTTCAAGCAATTCTCCTGCCTCAGCCTCCCAAATAGCTGGGATTACAGGTTGCTGCCCCCATGTTAGGCCAGTTTTTGTACCTTTAGTAGAGACGGTGTTTCACCATGTTGGCCAGGCTGGTCTTGAACTCCCAACCTCAGGTGATCCACCTGCCTCAGCCTCCCAAAGTGCTAGGATAACAGGCATGAGCCAATGTGCCCGGCCTACTTCTATTATTATTACATTGTAATATACAATGAAATACTTACACAACTCACCATAACGTAGAATCAGTGGGAGCCCTGAGCTTGTTTTCCTGAAACTAGATGATCCCTTCTGGGGGTGATGGGAGACAGTGACAGATCAACAGGCATTGGATTCTCATAAGGAGGATGCAGTCCAGCTCCCACGCATGTGCTGTTTACAGTAGGGTTTGCGCTCCTATGAGACTCTAGCAACACCACCAATCTGACAGGAGGTGGAGCGCAGGTGGTGATGCCAGCAATAAGGAGTGGCTGTGAACACTGATGAAGCCTCCCTCGCCCGCCCGCTGCTCACCTGCTGTGCTGCCTGCCCAGTTCCTAACAGGTGAGCCAGGTGCAGGGGCTCACGCCTGTAATCCCAGGACTTTGGGAAACTGAGGCAGGTGGATCAGCTGAGGTCAGGAGTTCGAGGCCAGCCTGAACAACATACAGACACCCTATCTCTACCAGAAATACAAAAATTAGCCTGGCGTGGTGGCTCATACCTGTAATCCCAGCTACTTGGAAATCTGAGGCAGGAAAGTCGCTTGAATCTGGGAGACAGAGGTTGCAGAGAGCCAAGATCACGCCACTGCATTCCAGCCTGGGCAACAAGAGCAAAACTCTGTGTCCAAAAAAAAAAAAAAAAAAAAGGCTGGGGTGCAATGGCTCACACTTGTAATCCCAGCACTTTGGGAGAATGAGGAGGGCGAATCACCTGTAGTAAAGAGTTTGGGACCAGCCTGGCCAACATGGTGAAACCCTGTCTCTACTAAAAATACAAAAATTAGCCAGGTGTGGTGGTACATGCCTGTAATTCCAGCTACTCAGGAGGCTGAGGTAGGAGAATTGCTTGAACCTCGGAGGTGGAGGTTACATTTACCTGAGATTGCACCACTGCACAAAGTGAGACTCTGTCTCAAAAAAAAAAAAAAGAAAAGAAAAGAGAGAAAACAAAAACAGGCTACAGACTGGTACTGATCTGTGGCCAGGAGGGTTGGGGACCCCAGCTGTAGACAATCTATAATGATCAAATCAGGGTAACTGAGACAGTCATCACCTCAAATATTTATCTTTTGTTTTGGGAACACGAAAATCCTTCTCTTCTAGCTATCTTGAAATATTCAAATAAATTCTCATTCATTGTAATTTCCCTTGTGCACTATTGATTACTGTAACTTATTCCTTCTATCTAGGCCTTCTTGTCGTTCATTCATTCTTTTTTTAAATTATTTTTTATTTATTTCTGAGACAGTCTCTCTCTTTCTGCTAGGCTACAGTGCAGTGACATGATCTCTACTCACTGCAACCTCCACCACCTGGGGGCAGGAAATTCTCCTGCCTCAGCCTCCTGAGTAGCTAGGATTACAGGCATGCACCACCATTTCTAGCTAACTTTTTTATTTTTAGTAGAGATGGGGTTTCACCACCAGGCAGGTCTCAAACTCCTGACCTCAAGCAATCCGCCCACCTCGGCCTCCCAAAGTGCTGGGATTACAGGCATGAGCCACAGCACCCGGCCATTTATTCATTCTTACATTCATTCATTCAATGATTCACTGCACTCCAGCCTGGGGAACAGAGCAAGACTCTGTCTTCAAAAATAAAAAAGTAAAGAGAAATTCAGGTGCAGGTGTAGAGCGCACTAGTGTGAGCAGGGGTGCCGTGGTGGTGGTGAAAGTGGTCAGGAAAGGCCTCTCTGTCAAGGTGACAGACATGAGGGCTGAGCCTGGGGACTCCTGGGGAGAGCAGCATGGGAGGGCTCTAGGCGTTGGTCCCATTTGTGATTCTTTTGTTTAGTTTAGTTTTGTTTTTGAGACAAAGTCTTGCTCTGTCACCCAGGCTGGAGTGAAGTGGCACAATCTCAGCTCACTGCAATCACCACCCGGGTTCAAGCCACCTCAGCCTCCCAAAGAGCTGGGATGACAGGCTTGAGTCACTGCACCTGGCCTCTGCATCAACATGTTTAAATTCTTCTGAAAGCTGTGCTTTAGGAAGAGTGTTCTGATAGCTATCGGAAATAAATGACAGAATGGCAGGACAAGGATCACGTTAGTGACAGGGTGGCTGTGGACATCTGCTGGCCGGCAGCAGGAAAGCCACTCAGACCCCGGATTCTACCTCTGCAGCCTGCCTGCACATGAATCCTCCTCCCCACATCAGTAGAAGCCTGGAACTCTCAGAAGAGCAGACCTCATCAACTGCTGCCACCTTCACCAGAATGATGTGATACTTTTGTTCACACAGAAGACAGCAAGAACCCTGAGAGAACAGGATCCAAAATGTGTGGGTTTTGATGGACAGGGTGGTAGGATCTGGGAGGCTCCACCTACCTCACCTCCTGACCCCTACATTCCTTCCCCAGTCCTGCTCAGCATAGAGACTAGAGTGACATTACCAGAAATGTAGACGCTTGGAAGGACACCAGTGACACGGAGAAGAGGAGATCGGAGGTCCACAAGGCGCCCAGCTCCTGGCCTCGGATGCCCGGGACTCTGTCCAGAAAGGCTCCCTCCCAGCCATGGAACTTGATGATCCTCGAGTTCCTGAGGATGGGGCTGCTGAGCTGGGCCTGCAAGTCCTTCTGCCTCATTTGCTCTCCTGGGATTGGAGGGAAGAGAGAGATGAAGACACGGCTGGTCCAGAATTCTCTTCTACACCCTGACAGTCACCCTGCAGCAAATCCCACTGATATTGCCAAGTGCGTCCCAAAGCTGTCTGCCTCTCCACATCTCTGACCCTGGTCCTGACCCATCCACCATCATCCTGTGCCTGGACTCCTGCAGGAGCTGACCCAGGACCACTGCCCCGGGGAGGCAGCTTCTGATGCCCGAAGAACAGAGGCTGCCCCTTAGCCCACCTCGGTATGGCGCCATCAGGAAGGCTACCTCGAGGTGGGTAATGCCTGAGTTACATCTTTTTTTCTTTCTTTCACATTTTTGGTGGAGTTAGGGGGATCTCACTATGTTGCCCAGGTTGGCCTCAAGCTCTTGGGCTCAAGTGATCCTCTGCCCCTGGCATCCTAAAGTTCTGGGATTACAGCCTGAGCTACACGTTAAATGACCAGGCGGTGGGTGCTGGGCAGGCAGAGGATGAGGGGATGGAGCCAGGAAGAGGGAGGGGAGGGTTTGAGGCAGGGGGCAGCAAAAACCCAGGCACAGGGAGCAGCATGACTCGGAGGACACTCAGTGTGGCCAGAGGAGTGCGTGGGCAGGGTCACTTGGCACTCCAGGGCCAGGCAGGAGTTCGGCGTCTCCTGTGCATCACCAGGGGAGGGAGGCATCATTGGGAGGCAGCTGCCTGGAGAAGATTTTTTGTTATTTTTTGAGATGGAGTCTTGCTCTGTTACCAGGCTGGAGTGCAGCAGCACAATCTCAGCTCACTGTAACCTCTGCCTCCCATGTTCAAGTGATTCTCCTGCCTGAGATTCTAGAGTAGCTGGGATTAGAGGTGCCTGCCACCATCAGCTAATCTTTGTAGTCTGCTTTTTTTTTTTTTGAGACGGAGTTTCACTCATGTTACCCAGGCTGGAGTGCAATGGCGCGATCTCGGCTCACCGCAACCTCCGCCTCCTGGGTTCAGGCAATTCTCCTGCCTCAGCCTCCCGAGTAGCTGGGATTACAGGCACGCACCACCATGCCCAGCTAATTTTTTGTATTTTTAGTAGAGACGGGGTTTCACCATGTTGACCAGGATGGTCTCGATCTCTTGACCTCGTGATCCACCCGCCTCGGCCTCCCAAAGTGCTGGGATTACAGGCTTGAGCCACCGCGCCCGGCCAATCTTTGTATTTTTTAAGAGAGATAGCATTTTGCCATGTTGACCAGTCTGGTTTGGAACTCCTGAACTCAGGTGATCCGCCTGCCTCCACCTTCCAAAGTGCTGGGATTACAGGCATGAGTCACTGTGCCGGAGAAGCCATGCAGGAGGCTGGAGACACAGTCCAAGATGGACATTGGGACAGCTGGGCCTAGAGGGGAAATAAGTTCCTTCCCTCCATCCCCTTCCCTCCCTCCCTCCCTCCCTCCCACCTTTCTCTCCTTTCTTCCCTACTCCTTTCTTCCGCTCTCCTGCCCTTTCTTCTGCCCTCTTTTTTCCCTTCCTCCTCCCTTTCTTCCTTCCCTCCCTCATTCCTTCTCTTCCTCTTTCAACTCTTTTCTTCTCTCCATCTGTCCTCCCCTTTCCTATCTTTCCTTCCCTCCCTGCTTTTCACTCCTCCCCTCCCTCCTTCCTTCCACAGTTCTCAAACACTGATCCAGCACCTTCTGCATGCCGAGCACTAGCTACATACTGAGTCTGCCACAGAGAGTGGCCCGTGCTGCTGCGGAGCTTCCAGTCTAAGGAGAGCGAGGCCGTCAGCCCCTGCCAGGTGCTTCCTGCAGGGCCCTTTAGGAAGTGGGAAGTGCTGGGGAAAAGTAAAAATGAACCCAGGACAGGCCAAGGAAGGGAGCCGCTCAGAGGAGAGGGATGGGTGTGCCGTGTCCTTGCTGGACGGTGGTGAGGGAGGCTGCCCTGACTTCAGGGGGGTGCTGGAGGGGACAAGGGTCTTCTGGAGTGAGGGTGGTCCAGGTGGAGGGAACAGCTAAAGCAGATGCCTGGAGAGATGTGTGAACATCAGGCAGGTGTGAAGATAGGGAAGGGGGGTAGGTGGGGAAGGGAGGGAGATGTGTGGAAGGTGAGGCTGGAGGCAATGAGGCAGCTCAGGGCAGGCCTGGTGGGCCACTGTGGGGCCTTTGGCTCAGACTGAGGAAAATGAGGCCGCTGTGGGTCTGAGCAGAGGAGGGTGCAATGGATTCAGCTCACACAGGTCTCCTGTGGCTGGAAGTGGAGAGATGCTGGGGCAGAAGTAGGGAGTGAGCCAGGGCCTTGCTGCTGGATGCATTTTCAAGATGATGCCAAGCAAATCTGCTGACTGTTGGGGTGCAGGAGAAAAGGGCATTGATCTGACCAAGGGCCTGGGGCCTGAACACTGGAGGGAGAAGCCGCCATCCACGGCAATGGGGAAGGAGCGGGACAGGTCTGCACAATGGACAACTCACAGAGACAAGAACAAAGCCAGACCCCCCGGCTCCCACTCAGCTCTCCTCTCCCCATCGCCCACACCAGGGCCTGTGTCTTCCTCCCTACTTCCTACCTGGTCCGTTCCTTTCCCAAAAGCCAAACCTGACAGTGATTCCTCTTGGTGATGAAGAAATTCAGAGGGAGGCAGCTCAGGAAGACAGCGATGGCGGAGGGACCCAGGAGCTGGGGACAGAGGGGACAGAATGTCAGGAGATCCCAGGGAGTCCAGCTGCCAGAGGCATGTGAACCACAGCAGCTTCATCTTGAATAGGAGCTGGGTAAAAGGAGGCTGAGACCTACTGGGCTGCATTTCCAGGTGGTGAAGGCATTCTAAGTCACAGGGTGAGACAAGAGGGCAGCACAGGATACAGGTCACAGAGACCCTGCCAGTAAAACAGGCTGCAGTAAAGAAGCCAGTCCAAAACCCACCAAAACCAAGATGGCGATCAGAGTGACCTCTGGTCGTCCTCACTGCTACATTGCCTCCAGCACCATGACAGTTTACAAATGCCATGGCAACATCAGAAAGTTGCCCTATATGATCTAAAAAAAGGGGAGTCATGAATAATCTACCCCTCGTTCAGCATGTCATGAAGAAATCACCCTAAAGATGGGCACCAGCGCCCTCTGGGCTGCTCTATGGAGTAGCCATTCTATCTTTACTTTCCTAAAAAACTTGCTTTTTTAGGAAAGAATAACTTTGCTCTGTGGCTCTCACCTGTAATCCCAGCAATTTGGGAGGCTGAGGCAGGTGGATCACCTGAGGTCAAGAGTTCGAGATCAGCCTGGCCAACATGGTGAAACCCCGTCTCTACTAGAAATATAAAAATTAGCCAGGTGTACTAGCGAACACCTGTGATCCCAGCTACTCAGGGGGCTGAAGCAGGAAAATCACTTGAACCCGGGAGGCATAGGTTGTAGCGAGCCAAGATCACACCGCTACCCTCTATCTAGCCTGGGCAACAGAGTGAGACTCCATCTCAAAAAAAAAAAAAAAAAAAAACCCAAAACAAACAAAAAAATGTGCTTTCACTTTATGGACTCATCCTGAATTGTTTCTTGCACGAGATCCAAGAACCCTCCCTTGGGTTCTGGATCGGGTCCCCTTTCCTGTAACAGCTGCAGATCCTGAAGAGGGTCAGACTTGGGTCATAAGATGGGGAGTCAGGGAATGTGGTAAGGGCAGCCACCAGGTCCCAGGGATCTGGGCTCATGGGGGTCTGCTGGGTCAGGAGGCACCTGCTGAAAACAGGGTCCTTCAATGTCAGGGAGGGGAATGGCCCACTTACACGATGGGGAGAGGGTTATATTCAAGATAGAACATGCATACACAGGAGTAGGACTGCGGGGTGCTCCTGGCCACAACAGTGAAGTTGAAACCTCTGGAATCAGGACTGGGTTCAAATCCTGACTCTGATGCTTGTGAGGGTGGCGTTGGGGCAAGTCACCTCCCTAACGTGCAGTTCCGTCATCTGCAAAATGGGAACAGAGTTGTCCTCATTTTGCATGTTTGCTTATTACATTTAAGTATTTTCCTAATCTTCATTTCACCCTCATGAGGGTTGTCGGACTTAGCAAATCATCATACAGATGCACAGTTACCTTTGAAGACAAAGAGTGAATAAGGTTTTAGTTTAAGTCTCGTGCGTTATTTGGGACATACCCTGAGAGTCCGAAACTCACACTTCACTGATGTCCTGTGTTTTCTCTGGGAACCCTACTCCCCACCAACGTGGTGCTTTTGGGATATATTCCATCTCTCAGCTTTGGTTTCTATATCTGGAAAATGTGAAAGTGGAAGGTAGAATAAATGATTTTTAAGTTGCTGTTACTTTCTAATAGTCCTTCACAGGTTACTTGAACCCATTCTCTCACCAAGCCCCACCCCAACTCCAGTCTGCATGCCTCAGTTTCCCCTCTCGGTTCTTAGGAATACTATTTTTTTTTTTTTTTTGAGATGGAGTCTGACTCTGTTACCCAGAGTGCAGAGTCGCAATCTTGGCTCACTGTAACCTCTGCTTCCCAATCAATTCTCCTGTCTCAGCCTCCCGAGTAGCTAGGATGACAGGTGTCCATCACTATGCCTGGCTAATTTTTGTATTTTTAGTACAGACAGGGTTTCACCATGCTGCCAGGCTGGTCTCAAACTCCTGGCCTCAATTGACCTACCCACCTCAGCCTCCCTAAGTGCTGGGATTACAGGTTTGACTTACCCTACCCAGCCCAAGGAAAGTAGAACACTATTTTCTAATGTTGGGTCACTTTGTCTCATTTATGAAGCAATGGCGTCACCTGGTGGCTTCATGGAGAAATGCCCTGAGGGTAAACCACCCACAGCAAGGGGTGGAAAACACTCAAGGGAATCTGACAGAACATAAGCATCTCTCTCTGGGGGAAAAATGGTTCATTAAACTATAGCAACCCCAGTATCCACCCCTCCTTCACCAGGATCTCATGGTGATGTTAGGAGCTGTCTACGTAGAGGCAGGAAAAGTGCACAGGGAAAGTGGCACGGTGCATTATCTGCAGATACCTTGGTTTTCCCTGAATTTTTTTTTTTTTTTAAGGGGGAGTCTTGCTCTGTTTTTCAGGCTGGAGTGCAGTGGTGTAATCTCGTCTAACTGCAATTTACGCCTCCCAGGTTCAAGTGATTCTCCTGCCTCAGCCTCCTTAGTAGCTGGGATTACAGGCACATGCAACCGTGCCCAGTTCATTTTTGTATTTTTAGCAGAGACAAGATTTCACCTTGTTAGCCAGGCTGATCTTGAACTCCTGACCTCAAGTGATCTGTCCACCTCAGCCTCCCAAAGTGCTGGGATTACAAGCGTGCACCCCCTTGCCTGGCAGAAGGATCAGGTTTTCTCATTTTATTTTTATTTTTTAGACGGAGTCTCACTCTGTCACCCAGGCTGGAGTACAATGGTGTGGTCTCGGCTCACTGCAACCTCCACCTCCCAGGATTCTCTGGCCTCAGCCTCTCGAGTAGCTGGGACTACAGGCATGTGCCACTACACCTGGCTAATTTTTGTATTTTTAGTAGAGTTGGGGTTTCACTATGTTGGCCATGATGGCCTCGAACTCCTGACCTCTGGTGATCCTCCCACCTTGGCCTCCTAAAGTGCTGGGATTACAGGCATGAGCCACCATGCCTGGCCATGGATTTTCTTGAACCAAAGCATATTCCTTGTCATGTGTAACAGAATTGTGTCCCAGCCCTGTACTTTCCTTGATTCATCCTCCTTTGAATAGCAAACCTCTAAAAGGCTATAACGAACATGGAAGAGCCACTGGCCGGGTGGGCTGGGTGGTGGCAGGGGGGCTGGGGTCCCAGCAGTTGGCATCCCCTTTAACAGGATGTACACATGGCCTCATGTACCTGTCCTTTAATCCCCTAGGTCAGCTCGTCGACGCCCTCTGGGTGAGAAATGGAGATCAGATCTTGTTTTCATCCACGTTCGAAGCCAATATCACCACCCACAACATTGCTGCCAGTGCGTGCCCGAGCCACCGGTAGCCTAGAAATATTTAGACCTGGTTTATTAACCATACACCTGCCAGACCCAAGTCAGCCAAAACATGAAATTGACCAGGCGCAGTGACCCACATCTGTAATCCCAGCACTTTGGGAGGCCAAGGCGGGTGGATCTCCTGAGGTCAGGAGTTTGAGACCAACCTGGCCAACATGGTGAAACCCCATCTCTACTAAAAAATATAAAAATGAGCCGGGTGTGGTGGTGCACACCTGTAATCCCAGCTACTCGGGAGGCTGAGGTATGAGAATCACTTCAACACAGGAGGTAGAGGTTGCGGTGAGCCGAGATTGAAACACTGCACTCCAGTCTGGGCAGAGCGTAAGACTCCATCTCAAAAAACAACAGTAACAACAACAAAAATACAAAATCAATGTGTTTGATTTTTTTTTTTTTTTTAAGAGATAGATAGGGACTTCTTTTTAAGAGATAGATAGGGACTTCCTGTGTTGTCCAGGTTACAGAGCAGTGGTACAATCACAGCTCACTGCAGCCTCTTATTCCCAGGCTCAAGCAGTCCTCCCACCTCAGCCTCCTGAGTAGCTGGGATTACAGGTGCATGCTACCAAGCCCAACTAATATTTGTGTGTGTGTGTGGAGATGGGGTCTCACCATGTTGACCAGGCTGGACTCAAACTCTGGGCTTCAAGTGATCCTCCTATCTCAGCCTTCCAAAGTGCTGGGATTACAGGCATGAACCTCTGTTCCTGGCCAAAACCTAATTACACATTCATGAATGACCGAGGGCATGAGCTTCTGTGTCCTTTAACAATGAAATGGATTATTCCTTGGGTACAACTTTGCTGGGGATGCTGTAACAAAGTGCCACAAACTAAGTGGCTTAGAACAAGACAAACTTGTTGTCTCAGGCTAGATGCCATGGCTCATGTCTGTCATCCCTGTACTTTGGGAGCATGAGACGATCTCTTGAGGTCAGGAGTTAAAGACCGGCCAGGCCAATAGGATGAAACCCCATCTCTACTGAAAAAATACAAGGCCAGGAGTGGTGGCTCACACCTGTAATCCTAGCACTTTGGGAGGATGAGGTAAGCAAATCATGAGGTCAGGAGTTCGAGACCTGCGTGGCCAAAATGGTGAAAATTAGCTGGGTGTGGTGGCGCGTGTCTGTAATCCCAGCTACTCAGGAGGCTGAGGCAGGAGAACTGCTTGAACCCAGAAGATGGAGGTTGCAGTAAGCTGAGATCACACCACTTTACTCCAGACCGGGGGACAGAGCAAGAATACATCTCAGAAAAAAAAAAATTAGCTAGGCATGGTTGCATGTGTCTGTGTTCCCAAGCTACTCAGGAGGCTGAGGTGGGAGAATTGCTTGAGCCAGGGAGAATGAGGCTGCAGTGAGCTGAGATCATGCCATTGCACTCCAGCCTGGGCGACAGAGCAAGACCCTGTCTCAATAAATCAATAAATAAAATAAAAAGTTGTTGTCTCCCAGTCGGGAGGCCGGAAGCATAAAGTCAGGTGTCTGCAGGCCGGGCTCTCTCTGGAGGGTCTGAGGAAAAATCTATCCCAGCCTCTCTCCTGGCTCAGGCATCCCTTGACTTATAGTGGCCATTGTCCTTCTATGCACGTCTGTCTGTGTGTGCAAATTTACCTTTGGGCAGGCACAGTGGCTCACACCTATAATCCCAGCAC